TGGTGGTGGACGTGTTAAAATCTATTTTAGAATTGTGTGCAATTCTGTTTGCGACATCGGGGGTTGTCTGGATGTATGAGACGAATGGAGAAAATTTGATCAAAACTTTATTGGTTTACATTACGTAGAGAAAATAGTGTATCACTACATATTTCGTTTAGCATTAAGAATATATTTGTTCATATTTATGTGCTTACTAATGAGTAAGCTCATCGAATTGACGATGAAATTGGTGTTAAATATGTACATACATATCCGTCTCAATAACAAAGTTCGCACTATTTAACTCATGAACTTAGGTTTTCTTATTTTGGTACTGGGGATAGAAAACGTGAACGTCGAAATGCATTATGCCAATAATAAGCAAATAGTACATTCCGTAATGTGTTTAGGCGCCAATGGCTTCGAATTCTTCCTAACCGAACCTATGGATTCTCAGAAGTCTTAAGGACTTCCACATTTTCCTGTTAAACTTGGATATGTTTTATAAATTGCTTCTCATCCATAAAAAAATTATTAAGAGGTCGACGTCTACGGCATCAGTAAAAGAACAAGTTGCTAATGACCCGATCATCGGGTTCTTCAGATACGTTATCACTGTAGTCCTTCCTCATCCTAACTGTGCAATTGCAGGTTAAAACTACCACACAAATCCCGAAAAGTATTATCGGAGGAATTGAGAAAGAGCAGCAATTCTGATTTGGAGGCGCTGGAGGCGCTGGAAGTGCTGATTTGGAGGCGCTGGAAGTCGGATCAACAAATTTTGATCGGATTCTAAGTTGCATAAATACTGTAGTGGGAACTACAGATCTACAGTTAAATAGTTTCAAGATGAACACATTTAAATACTGTACATAAACTCTTTATGTAGATATTGGTGATTTGACCAGAGGTACACCTGGCTGTATTGGCCTGGGATTGATGTGCGATGCGAAGGTGAAAGGTAACTATTTACGAAATGAATAAAATCAATGTTTACATTATTTTTTGTCTTGGTTAGCAAAATTGACTACCTAATCGGTCCCCAACAGACCAAAAATGTGGCAGCGGGTACCCAGATTCATCTTCCAAGAGGGGCTAATGGACATCTTGCCACACGACGTTCCTTTACAATGAAGGTGCGCATGCCTGAGGAAGAGGAAGAGGAAGGAAAAGTACAATGTATGTACGTTACATGGTAAGGTTTAAATATTTGATGAGATTTATAGCAGTCATGCAAATTCAGGCAAAATTTGTTCAGCAAATATTTACATCGAATGTAAATAGCTGATCTTAGAACACGAGGTTAAAAGTACTTAAAAGTATTGAATTTTACAGCGAACGCACTTGAATAATTTATTTGTTAAAATTCATTTCGTGTTTGCCGTGTTTTGTTTCTTTATCATTGTTTTCTGCTGCTTGCCTGCTGCGCAATTATTTGCAAATTAGATTCGAAGCACTCATGAATAAGGCTCACGAATATTCTTCAAACACAAGGATGGAAGCTGAATCAGAACAAAAGAGCTAGTTTATAAACTATTTAGAAGTTTTCTCTATATTTCGATTTGGTTTCCCTGTAGTAAGATTTGGAATTACGTTATTAGGCATTTATGTACTTCTATTATGTACTTTTTCTGAAGTAGATGTATTTCATCCAAACAATTATCGCTTAGAGTTATCATGTCGTGGGTTTCCTGGACATTATTTTTGACATTCGCCTTCCTCACTTCTTGCAAGTCCACAAACCTATGGAGTAATATTTTTCTCGACGCTGAGATAACGTTTATTTCGAAAACGGTAGAAGATGCGCATTTTTCCAAGTTTCACATTATACGAGTCGAGAATACCTACACCCCGACTCGAATTATCGTCCTATGTACAGCGAAACCTGAATTAGAGTCGTGCAAGAAAATCAACATTCTGAAGAACTTTCGATATCGGGTAACGGATAAGTCATCCCTGACGAAAGCTGTTTTCGTACCCTTAATCGATGACGATGAAATCATAGGCAAATTAAATTGTGAATACTTAATACGACAATCTGATCGAGTGCTTGGACAAGAATATATTTTCGGTTACACAATTTCTCCCAGGAACTTGGATTATTTCAAGCGTGCCGCAAAGCTGATTAGGGCCGCGAAGCTGATTGTTCTTGGGAATAATGTCAACTCACCCGTTCTGATCCCGTGTTTGACCTGTAGCCCCATAACCTTCTTTGACCTTAAGGTAGTATCACTACCAGGAATTCAGATCGCTTGGGATGCAATAAATAGGAATATGCATAACTTATTATTATTCGTAAGTAACCCAGTGAATGCGAAGTGTGGGCTACTCATCCGTGGCTTTGTGAACCTGACCGAGCCCGGGTTCTGCGCTGAAGCCACCTTCGCGGAAAAGTATAATTTGACCTTACTCCAATACAAGGGGGAGGATGAGATCTTCTTCGGCGATAGGAGCTTTGGCTTAGCCACTAGTAAAGTTCTAAATGCAACCGGAGCGAAAGACTGCCTTTACAAAGTTTTTCTCAATCACATCAACTTTTTAGCGGTGACCAACCCTCCATCTCCAGCCAGCAGTGTGGAAGTTTTCGTGTCCCCGTTCGACCCAGAAAGTTGGATTTGTATCTTGCTCAGCATAATTTCAGTGGCGGGATTCTTCACATTTTTGACATGGTGGGGCACCCGGCAGACTTTGTGGAGTACCATGGTCCATATGATGATCACGGTAATGTTTGTATTTCTGGGAAACGTGGGCGAAACTTGTGGAAAGATGTATCGTTCTAGGAAAGTGTGCTTAATCCTTGTTGTGATTTGGCTATTTGGGAATTTTGTCCTCATGGTGAACGTTTACCAAGGATCGATTTATTCCTGTATGACGGTTCTATTCCCACCCCCGACTCCACGTGGGGTGGAAGATCTTGTCAAATTGGATATTCCGATAGTAGCTGGGGATACATTCTATGATACTGTGACTCGTTCCGATAAATCATACCTGGTGGATTACATTCTTCCCGACTTACGCGAACGGATAAAACCGGGTAAAAAATTGTACGAATTTCTGCGAAAATTTGAAGAAAAGTTACTGTCGACTCAAAACGGCTCGATTAATGCGATGGTGAGACAAATTCTTGTGGAAAATTCTCCCCGGGGTCATCCAACCATTGCGTTATTAATACCTGAAAGCATAATTGATTATTCTGAGTGGATTTTTAAATTTCTGGGGAACCGTCGCATCGTGCGAAATAAGGGCGAGTCCCCGTTCCACATTGTGGAGCATAGAGTTGGGCCTACTAATTTTCTGCTTCCATATTTCAAAAAGGAAGCGGGACGTTTCAGTGAGTCCGGGTTGGCGGGGATGTGGGATAATGTATATAAGATCGCTCTGGTTTTGCGGCATGCAAAATTAATTCCTGGTGTAAGAATTTACTTTAAAGTGGTACAATATTCCTTTGGGAATGTAAGGGAGCCCGTGACATTTCATGAATCACATCCTGTCTCCATGGAGCTGATTATGCCGGCGTTTATTATATGTGCAATTGTCATGGGGGTAGGAGCGGTGGGGTTTATTAGTGAATGTTAATGCTTACAAAGAATATATATAAATATGATGCATAATATGTGAGGAAGTTGAGACTAGGGACGTAAAATCAAATTGCATATGGCATGCCATATTGCATGAGAAAATGTATGTATAACATGCACATGTGCTGACTCACTGTTCCAGTGAATGCAGCAGTATCACACTCTCGCCCTATCTCTCTCACACGCGCATACATGCAATGCAAAATATGTACCTGAAGCTGTACTTTGTTCATGAAAAGCATGAAAGCAATGGGAATAGATTCATGTATTTAGGCATGTAGTTGCGGACAAAACTAACTGCGACCCTGGTCAAATTGACCGCGTTTCTTTTTCGTCTGACCTAACGTATACAAACGATCACGGTACGGGTGGGGGAGGAATTATAAATGCCGCAAATAAAGCATGTATGTATAAATGTTGGAATATTTATGTATTTGTTTACAACAGACGGATTTATTTAATTCAGACACTGAATAAGAAGGTGCCGTTGTTATTAATATGCACGTCAATGAAAGACCTAGTAGGCATAGTTTTTGACTGATAGTCGCGTTCGGAGGACCTACTATGTTGTTTTTTTAGAATTTATGGCATTAGACGAAGGATCCGTTTATATACATATTTCCTGATATATGTATAAATATTTGTATTGAAATAAATGAGACAAAATAACATTAAGGCTAGGAAAGGTAAGCAATTATATGAATTATAATATATTCTTGATTATAACCGCCCACAACATAAAGGGTGTTCAAGGTAACAGATTATTCGATTATAATCCAAAAATCTCTTATTGGACAATTATAAAAATAATTACTATAGATTATAATCCAATTTCCTGCTGCTGTGAACACCATTATATTTTTTCGATTATTTTTCAACCAATTGTCCCTATAAGTACGTTATGTGTAATAGCCTGCATGCAAACGTTAAAACTTTATTGTATACATACTTTGCATTTTCGTAATGCGCAAAAAATGTCAGTAGCTCCAACTTACATCATTATTTATATTTTCAGACCATCGATATATCTTTAATATGGATTCCAATTATAAATACCTGCAAAATAAATAAATATTCTGGAGTCCCTGGAAATTCCCAGAGTGATAGAGGGTCACACAAGTGCACAATATTTCTAAATTTTGCAACATACAGATATATAAATATGTGAATGAATTGAGAGTTTTTTAAGAGTATAGTATAAAACATATACAACATACGTACACAACCCAATCAATCATCAGGCAAACCTTGTCTGCCCGAGTTAGATAATTCTGTCCAGCAAGATAACAAATACGCAAGTGCACCCAAGCATATGTACTCACTCTGTTGTAAAGTTTCCAGCTTAACCTAAGCCTGTTTGTACATATTTCATTTATTCGCCTCGAGTATCCACTGTTTAGCATACAGGCGTATGACCCGCTTACCATTAAAGTTTTATTCATTTAGTTATTCCAATTCAACCGTCACCTAATCCTTGCTCCTCTTATCAAGTCACATAACTCCTGATAACATACATAACTTGTTCCAAATAAGCAGTTATACATAAATTCAATCCTCCTCGGCACTATTCTAACCAAATCCGTCTCCATCACAAAATAATTCCAAGAACTATTTGGTCTAAAGTAGGGAATAATAATTTCAACATTATGACAACCAACGTCGATTTCCTGGACGGAGTCCGCACCTACAAATCTTTTCTGGGGAGTGGTTCCTTCGGATTTGTACTGGAAGTTGAGAAAGAGGACCGAACCCCTTCCGCCATAAAATTCATTTACCCAACGGATGACGAAAAGAAAAAGGTCCAAGGCGAACGAGAGGCCTCGTTAACCCAACAACTTCCCAGGCATGAAAATCTGGTCACCGTTAAGAATTCCGTGTCAAATAAATGTCTGAGTCCAACCCAGTTACAGCAGGTTTTCATCCATTGCAAACACGTGACTAGAGCTAAGTGGGAGGACCTGCCATCCAAGTTAAGAACATTGGGGTGGACCTGTATCGAGATGGAGCTCTGTGGAAGGAATTTGTGGGAATCGATACGTGATCCAGATACAAAGTTGACATCCATGTCTGTCCAGCTTAAACAAGTCCAGATTATCCAAGGTCTAATTTCAGGGTTGGGATTTCTACACAGCAGACAAATCATACATCGTGACTTGAAGCCTGGCAATGTCATGTTCAAACTGGAATTCCAGGTCCCAATAAAAATAGGAGATTTTGGCCAATGTCGCATCGTCCCTGGTCACGAAGACCCTACGCTCACTAAGACCAGTATTGGAACGACGCAATACACAGCGCCCGAAGTGCGCAGCGGAACTGGGAAATACTCTTATCAATCCGACCTATTTTCACTTGGGCTAATTATTTGGGAGATCGTCGCCCTGCTAACTCCACGTGAGTGCCAAATCCGATTTGATAAACTACTTAATGATGGAGCTGATGACCAAGTTCGAGATGACCATCTCCTCATTGGGAAGGATGCTAAGCAACTTGTTCTAAATTTAACTAAAAAAGCTGTCAATGAGAGATATCAGAGTGTTTATGAGGTGGAGAAAATTATTCATGGCTGGAGATCCGTGAGAAATCCGGTCAATTCTGCACAGAACTATATTACTGGACAAAATCGTGGTAACGCTTTTGTCGAAGGTAAGCATTACAACATTTCCGAGTTTTCATCCATCAGATTTCGGGAAGAGTGAATCTGCAATTTACGGAAAAGTACTCCAATGCCGCCAAAAGTATAATGGTTGGAGAGGGTTTGTTGCTACCGAAAAGTTGGGACCATCTATAGTATAATACACATATGGGAATGTGGATTGCATATGAGAGAGTGTACAACAAACTCCACCCCTGTAACGCTGGGATACTAGAGCTATACAATAATATGCATACTTTTCACCCTAGTTGTGTGATTGTGGTGCAGTAAGAGATGCGAAGTAATATTGTAGATGGATATTTGCCCATCTACATTCCCGTTCTCCAGTAGTTCTCTGTAGAAGGGGGACGAAGTTTTCAGCCTCTCATATGGGGTTCCCTTTTTAATTGCTAATAACCAGCATTTGGATGCTTGCGACTGCGATCACCGTAATGATTACGGAGAAAAAAGGGGAATATAAAGTGCTAACACTACATGGAAAAAAAATATACTAAATGTGCCAGATTTTAATAGAAATTTGGTATGGGACAAATCTTAGGGAGTTTAGATCATAAAATACGCCACGCAAAAATGGACATTTTCTAGACCCGCATTCATAGCATTAAACATTCGTCACATATGCATCATATTTATGGAAATCCACTCACATCATGTATGTCACGTCCAATTGCATTTAAACCTCTAAAAGATTATTATTACTTGCAGCATTGCCTTTTGGACTTGCACCCTATGTCCCACCTTCCAGAAATCCTGTTTATCCTTCCAGCGAAAGCGCAGATGACCTCATTCGCCGGATTTATGAATCAAAACAAGTGCGGGACCCAAGAGTTTTGAAAAGCCCTCCCTCGCAACTGGACCGAACTAAGAGTCTATCAGCACTTAATGTGGCAACGGATAGCAGAAGATTTAACCATGGCATTGAAACGCCTCGAACCAATGTAACCAATCCAATCCGAAATTTCAAGCAGGAAACAAACCCACTGCCGCCAAATTTGACGTATCAACACGACCCACATAACAATATTAACTACATGTTCAAAATTGACCCCAAAAAACCAGCAGGTGCCACAGAATCTGGATCAAATAATACGCCAATGTCACTCCCCTCTTTTTCCAAACAAGTGCAACCCGATCAAATACAAAGAACTCAGAACGTGGTTAAGCACAATGCAAAGCAACCCATTATTCCTGTCGGCGTATTCTTCTCCTTGGACACGATATCTGCAGCCACATTCGACCAACAAGCTAAAACATTCAAGCAAATTTACGGCCCAAAGCGCAACCTCGTCTGCTTCCATGGAGGGCTCGTTCTGATCTCTGATTTTCCTCATGACGTCCCAAGCAGCAACATTATCACTATGCGAGAAATCTTGACACACCCACACATTGAGCAGCTTCGAAACGTCGAGACCGTTGGAGGAATGAGGTCACTACGAGTTGAAGAAATTCTCGCTCACGTCTTCATCAAGTTGCACGAAGTACTGAAACGCGAACTACAATCGTCCTTCATCTCCTACGCCATCTCGCATCTTTCGTCCTTCAACAGGAAGATGTACTATGTCCTAAAGAATGCGATAGAACTTGCAGAAATTCGCGCCATCCTGGTGCGAGAGTCTGACGCAATTCTTGCCCATGCAATTTACACAAAAAAACTATTGTGTGAACCCACCTCGGCTGTGGTGGCAATCGAGGATCCTACCACGAAGGGGAGTGACGTTTCGATTTACAAAATTGTAGAAAATCGACTCCAGCTCAGCAAGGTTTACGGATTTACAACTGGAATGAAGGAATGCGTGAAAAACCTGCCTGCTTTATCGCGCCCAAAGATTTTCTTATACTGCCTCGGTCCTCACAGTAAAGACGAAAATATCAGGGTTATACGAGAAGCGACGGATGATCGTCAATGGGTGGACGCAATGAAGATAACCGTGCCCTTGGAGGGTGCTACGTTGCTGGCATGTTTAAAATACGATTCAACCTATAGTACCAGGTGGGATGAGGAGTTTCAGTTCGCCAATTTAATACAGATTGTGAAGACAACGCCAAACCTGACGCACGCTCAGATTGAACATGTCGGGGAGAATTTACCATATGACAGAAAGACATATAAACTTCTGTTTCCCAAAACTTTAAACAATTAAGCAATCAGCATGCAAATATTAAATATAAAGTGTGAAATCCATTGTAACAATGATTAAGATCATAATATAACCAGCAGTAATAATGACAAACCAAATTTATAGTCTCCCATATGGAAGACGTACTTTTACATTGTGGATTTTATTTTGCAAGCCTGATTCTCCTACCAGGGACTAGACACAAATTCTCTTCAAAGTTTTGCACTAAAATGTTGGTGATTATGTATGCATGACGGAACAAGTTGATGAGAAGGGATATCAGTAAATGCGTTTATTTTATTAATTTTGCTTTAAAATTCTCAATATTTAGGATGAAAAAGGCATCCCCTTTTTAAAACGCCTAGAATGTACATCTGACATATATCCCAGGAAGATGTTCACTTAAGGCTATTCCGTCCCTTTGCCCAACTAGACGAATAAATCCTTCTTCAAGGTTTGCTGATCGTTAAATTCATCGTAATTTAGATTAGTTCCAGGTGCTACATAAAATAATTCAGGAATTGAAAATAACTAAATAATTGTTAAACAACTATGTATCTAGGACACATACTATCTTTATTTTCGCTCCTATTACCAATTTATGTAATAATTTTAAAGTTAGCCTCCTATAGAAAATCATAATAAACAAATGATATCATATGCAAAATAAATATTTGTATTTACTTCTTAATTAGAAGCCACAGTGGACCAAATTGAAATAAAATCGACCGGACCGGGGCCAATCACCGAAGGGGGCTTTAATATTAATACACTGTAAAGCATACATGGGTGCAATGTCGGGTCGTGGTGTCCTCCCACTTATCATAGTCCCCCAAAAAGTGAAGGAACCTGCAAAGTATTATGTGGGCCGTGTATTGAAAACAGTTTTAGAACAACATTTTCCTAAATTGTGTGGTATAAAAATAAATAACGTGATTTTTCATGATCACGCAACGTCTTCCAAGACGGCAGAGTTCATCCAAGATGATGCAAAGGCCCTTGAACCTAGATTGGAGATAAAAATCACTTCGAATAGTGAAATACCCATACAATCCCCAAAAGGATACAAAAGGATACTTGAAAACAAAAAATTTCTGCAGAGACAGAATTTTTTAGACGGAGTTTGGAAAGAGTAAAAATGAGTCTTTCAACTTCTGAGGGCTGTGGGGGAGGCATTTTTGAAAGTAGAGAGTTGAATTTTTGCACACAACTATTTTAGGATAACGTGCTCCTCTGTTCAAAATTTTGACCCGCTACGACAAACCGTTCCGGGGTTATTCAACGACAAATTCGTCACCACGTTAACAATCAACCTTTGGTAGTTGGTTTGACACCTTTAGTTGAAGCCTTCGGAGCAGTGTGTGCAAAAAGATAGCCTTTTTGCTATTTATTCATGCATTTTTGCCTTCTTGACTTTTTCGATGCCCTTTTGCCTGTTTGCCAGCTAGATGCGATTTTGGATGTTTCATGCCTTTTTGCTCGATTTTGACGATTGGAACCGATTTCTTGTCGCTTATGAAGTTTTAGAGAAATTACAGAATATATTTCATGTTTTAAAAATGGTATTGGATGGTTCTTGCTTTCATTGAAACTTCCAATTAGCTGAATACTTTTCCCCAAATATTTTCAGGGTTGTTTTTACATCGTCATCAGCTTCATTAATCACATTTTCGGCTAAATATCATATTTGGGAGTAGTATAAAAGACGCGATGAATGACTTTCACTTTAATTTTATCGCAAGGTATTCGTTCGATATCGCCCCAATCAGTAAAAAGGCACCCATTTTTGTGAGCAGAAAGGCACACACTGCCCCGGAGTAAATGTTTAATTTATTTATCTGAGTGTAAAGGCGTCCGCTGTATCAATCTGAAGAATAAACTACTTATCTATCTATCTACTCACAAAACTACTGCCCATGTGGTCTTTGTGTGGGTTATGGGGTTTTAATTAGTGGGATTTAAAATAATAGAATGAGAAAGTTGCCTTTTATTGTAAATTAAGGTACAAATCGAGGAAATATAACTTTCTTCCGTTTGAATTACTTTATTTAATTAGAGATCATGCCCAGTAACACCTGGCGGTGGAATACCATGACCCCTGCTGACTGACTCGCAGCCAAATCTGTAATTGGAACAGTGCCAAATCAATTGTTGGGATAACCAGAGAAAAAAAAGATGGCACAATCTTCTCGCTTACAAAAACAATTTTGGCTTTATCGACCTAAAGATTAGCACTCCAAATACGTCCCTCATATCAAATTCCAAACCTTCGTTGTTACCTGCTTACTTATTTCATCACCTTATCAGGGGCATATCTCACAATACAAATTGAATTAACCAATCAATCAAACTTGAAGTGTAATTTCCGGCTTGATTCGCGTCACCCCATTTACACACTTATGCACTCTGCGTGCGTGATCCATTAAATACGAGGACAGGTTTGTGTTTCAAACCACTTTCAGATCACACCTCTTGCCAAGACCTCTGATAAAACAGCTCCATATTTTGTTCAGCCAGAACTTTGCCATCAGAGGTAAATTACAGCAAGAAGAGATGTTACCCTACTGGATAAGCATTCTACTCACATTGTCCTTCGCCACAGCTTCGAATGGATGGCCTTTGGTAACTTAACTATACCTTAAAATTTATGTCTTGTCGTCATTTTAAACTTCCCCACACAGGAGGAGCTGATCCGAAACGGAACAAAGTTAGAGTGGACATATCACCGCGGTGGGGTAAAATACTACATGACGCCCGACATGACAGCGGATGTCATCGACTCGGCGCGGCAACGTTTCAATGCAACCCACACAATCAGCGATGGCTCCTCAACTACAAGTATCCGACCATCCACCACCCAACCGACCATGCCGGGAACCACGACGCCAAGTCCGGAAATGATGGAAACCGTTTTCCAAATCGACGTATTACGATACGTGTCCTTGGTGGGAAACGTTTTGAAAGATCAGGCAACCAGGACGACCTTCAAACTCATCCCGGTGGAAGGAGGGGACAATCAATTTCACCTGTTTTACAATGGTGACACATTTGTGGCACCGAGGACAAGACCACCATTTGAATTGGGGGCAATTATACCGGGGCAATTATAGACGCGAACTCAACAATTTACAAAAATACATAAAACAATTTCATAAACACATCATTTTACATTTAACAATAGTGGTTATCATGATAAGTGATCTTGATAAACACTATTAATTAATTACTTTAGTTTGAGAAACTCGACCCACAGCGAGTAGCATATCAATTCGAATGTATTTTTGACGCTGAATCCAACGCCAATAGTTTTGACCTCCGACGCCCGCGTGACCTTGCCGTGACCGTGGGGGCCAAATATGGCTTATTCGTGATGTCGCACATTAATTCGAATGTATTTTTGAGGCTGAATCCGAATCCGTCAATAGCTTGGCGTTAACTGTAGAAGTTAACGGGGTTTATGGAACTTAACGGGAGCGTGAAGCGTGGGAATTTAAATAGTTGGCTATGCAGTTACTCCCACGCGACTGGAATTTAAGTAATTAGCAGAGTCCGGATATGTATGTATTTTAAACTTTTTCAATAATAACCCGATCGGGTTGAAACTTTGGGATATTGTTCCTGGTCAGGCATAGGTCACACGGTCAAAAAAAATGTTTTCACATATTTTACATATTTCCAGGTTTTGGTACATATAAATATGTTTTAACATATTTCGCCGATTTTGCCGAAAATGTGCATTTTTTGATATAGATAAATATGTTTTTACATATTTCAGCCATTTTTTCCAAAAAAAATATATTCTTTTAGAGAAACCTCAGAAATTCACAATTCATAAAAAATTCCGATCATCGTAGAAATAATACCAGAGCATGTTGACATGTTTTTAGTTTGTCACTTCGAAATGTAAAAGCATTTTTTGGCATTTCTGCAGTCAAATAGGCTAAATTTGGGGCAATTTAAAGCGAATTAAAAATATGTTTTATATACATATTTTGGCGATTTGATTGAACATTTTACATAAATATTTCGGGGTTTTTAAGAACATATTTATCCGGACTCTGGTAATTAGCTCATCAGCTACTCCAACAGGGGGAAATCAAATTGTACCGTGACCAGAGTAATTGAAATGCAGGATAACTTGGGCAAACCCTCACTCTGATGTATGTATGTGGTATGACAAAGTCTCCACTGGGAATTATTTAAAGTATAGTATGACGGATTTTTCGCTTTGGGTACACCCCCCACTGGAACTCTAGAACCCGACCTTGGCCGGGCTATTTTAATAAAACTATAAATATTAATTCAAAATTTAGTATGTATTATAGTATGTATGCAACTATGCCACAAAAAATGCTCAATTCAGCAGAATTTGATCGTGCACGGTTCGGTTCAATTGAGCTGAGCGAGCCGAGCTTTTTCGAGCTTTTTTTGAGTCGAGCTCGAGCGAGCCGAGCTTTCTCGAGCTTTTTCTGAGTCGAGCTTGAGCGAGCCGAGCTTTTTCGAGTCGAGCTCGAGCGAGCCGAGCTTTCTCGAGCTTTTTGGGAACCGAGCTTGAACGAGCCGAGCTTTTGAAAATCGCTGCTCGACTCACCTCTAATTCCGTGTACAAAATAAGAATCGAAGCTACCAATGTGAACGAAGAGTAGTGAACTGTTGCAACGACTTATGTCAACGCGGTCATAAATTCGAACATGAATATGAACAGTTGAAATATGATATTTCTCCCCAAGCCGAATGAGCATGTTAAAACGGATCCTAGAAATGGGGTGTTACACGGGAAAAGATGTCCCGCCGTGGCCATCAACAAAGGAACCTCCCACATTGAGGCCTCAACCAGTTTGAAGAATAGTTTGCATAACGTGACCAATCTGGTGGGCTGGTAGTTACTTTTTTCTGTAAAAAACAATGCTGTATAAATGCTGATAAGGGAAACCTTTTTCAAGCTACACCGGGATAGATTAGCGAGTTATGTCAAAAAATCAAGCCAAAAATTAAGAGTCACGTGACACTTATCTTTCCGATGAATGGAAATCCATTTGAAGAAAAATATTGGCGGTTAAGTACAATTTTTTGAGCCAATTTTCTCTTGAGTTTTCCTCCACGGGGCGAAAACCTGGGAGGAGTGCGAACTATGCCCCACTTTTACTTCTTCAAAGGGGCCATTTAACGGAAAGATAAGCGTCACGTGACTCCTAATTTTTGGCTTGATTTTTTGAAATAACTCGCCAGTCGATCCACGTCTAGCGTAAAAATAGGATCCATTGTGAGTCGTATTTTTTTGCGAAATTTAAACATCTAAAAAAGCATGTTTTCACCTTTCCTGCTAATCTTGAAACTTTTTTGAGATCCACCAATTATGCAGCGCCATTGGTAACGTGTCGACATTTTTCTCCAATCGTAAAACCATGCATATCCAATACCCCGCGAGAAACATGAGCATTCTGAAATCTTGCCTGGAAGCAACCAGCAAGGTTTCTACGATTACGTAAACGAGATTAAAAAATAGCCAACGTTTAACGGTTTTCTGGTATTTGAGGCCCCGGAGGATAATCGAGTACAAATACAAATAAGTATATTGCTGAATAAGATAGTTGACAATTCGGCGTTTAATAAGGCTTTTAGCTTCGAATGTGACGACATTGGATTCCAAACAATCTTCAAGGATTTGCCTTCCCTTAATTGTTCCCTTTTGTTGATCAGAGGTTAAGATAACTTGCTTTACGTCCTGAAGTATAATAAAGGAAAATTTTAATTACATAATCATGAACTAAATAAAATTGTTTACATTGTTTACTTACAAATAAGGGAGTAAAATCTACAAACGAAATTTCAACGTCGACTCTATCCTCGCTTGGCGGCTGAGTTTGATTGTCGGAGTCCAAAATTTTAGAAGTGCCTTCGACCTGAAATGAACAATTCAGTTTGTTTTACTATGAATTAATTTATTTTATTAATTTATTTTATCATCGAAAAATTAAAGAAGCATTGTATATTAAGAAAAATCCATCTAGCATGAACATCAAGGATGGGAGGAAAATAAACCCTATTTGGTTACCAACTATTCTTCCTCTAATAAAACATCCATAAAATTTCCTAGGGAAACTATTGTAATTTAGTCAAAAGTTTTTGAATTAGTGTTCTGTCAGAAAACAATACATATTTGTGACCCTGATGAAGACAACATTCGTTGTAGAAAGCTTGGTCGAGTATAAATAAAACTGTATAGTTTTTAGAAATCGAGTCCTCAAAACCGTTTAAAAACTCATTTTAAACTTCAACATGAAAGGATGGAAAGATGTCAAAATAGATATGAATTAATTTAGATTAATCTAAATGCAAAATCAATAATAATATTTTACCAGAACCACGTTAAGCATTTCTCCAAGTGCTCGCTGGTCTGTTTCAGAAGTTTGTTTGCCTACCTAAATATGTACACAGATATCTACAAATTAGGTTAACAGAAGAAAGTTTGTTATCTTCACTCCCTATGTACATATGCAATAAAAATTCAATTTAAATGAACTCAATAGGACAACAGATTAAACCATGACCTTCAGGATCACCTATTCTATTCACAATAACTAACGGATATTCTAAATCTATGGCGTCAGGGTCTACTAAGATTGGATTTGCAAAATCTATTATTTTAAACAGATATGAAAAACTGAATTGCTCTTCACACTTTACTGGTCTCACAACTAAATGAACTCTCTCGTTGTGAACTAGACACATGCAAATTTGACAAAATTGTGGACTCAGAGATGCCCCTTTCAAAATGAAATAATTTTGAGGTTTGACTTTGGTGCCAAAAATGGTTACTGAATCAACACAAAGTACTTCTTGAGATGCATTTTTGGAAAGTTTTGAAAAATCAAAAGATACTTTCATATCCTTGAATGCAATTCTTGACCCCGATCCATAGTTTACGTCTCCTCCTAATTCCCCACCAATGGAAAATGCCAAATTAAGCGATATTCTCCTTGAAACTGTTTTAGCAATATTCCTGAGATTGTAATAATTTTTACCTATAGTTTTTGCGAGCCGATGTTTAGCCTCAAACCGCATACACCAATATTGTTTTAGGGGACCCAATTGCTCTATGGCATGAGCATAATGCAGCAAATGATGAAATTTTGGAGTTAAATTTTTTTGTGTCAAATTAATGAATGACTGATGATGCTCCCCTATTAAATAATTCAACAAGCGAACCCCCGACCTACTTATTTGAGGTGCCATTAAAATGCATAAAATTCTTCGAAGTTTTAGAACTTAATCCCAGTGCTTATCATTCATGTTAAATTTATCACCAAATACTGCGGGAAAAATAAGGAAAAAATGACTTGTCTCTGATGCAGAGAAGCATGTTTTTTTGTCGCCATCAACAAACGCAATATCAATTTCTGGCAACCTTGATATTGCATGACCATTCTTTTTCAAGGACGACGACAGCCTGTGGTTAATCTCAGTAAGTGATAAAATGTGGTTTTTAGTAACACGCTTTAGAACTAATTTTAATTCGATGAGGCAAATTCTTTCCAAGATGTCGTGCATAATGTGGGGTGCAAAATTGGACGTAACATGAACCCCTTAATATCATTTACAATTGACCTTTCCTTAATTCCTGTTAAGCTAACGTTTGCAACTTGTAAATCCCTTTCATAATCTACTAAAATTCGCCTTTTATGTATGTCCTCCTCTATGGCTATAAATGTTTGTTCCTTTTCTAACTTACAGAAACGACATCTAAAATTTGCATTACAACTTTCAGCAAAGCCAAAAATGGTATGCAACCCAAGATTATCACCACAAAACTGGAGAACTTGAATATGACTAAATGGACTACTTTCCAGGAAGCTCAAGTTTGGAGAGTTTTCATGCAGCAAATTTAATTCGCAAACTAATGGGTTCAAGATGAAATTCATTCCATATTCTTTGACAAATTTGGATTTTACAACTAAAAGTGGGAAAATATTTTCTAGTCTGGAATTCAGATGGCTGGGAAAATTGGCAATCACAAAATAAAACATTGCAAGTTTGTGAATTTTAGATTTTGATCCTAAAGGGTTGCAGATTTCAATATCATCGTAATAAATTTGCAAACAGAGAGGATTGTTTTTGAAACTTTTGAATAGTGC